AAAAATCTATATATGTTTCTGAAATAATAATGAGTTTGAGATTACTGCCAGAGTGCAGTCTGCATAAGAGAATTTATTTTACTCACTCCACTTACAAATTAGCCAGACCACAAAACTGACCACCTCAGAATAAAAAGTTAACCCAGTCTGCTTTCTTCTCTCCATGCCTGGATGCTAACTTGGACAAGTTCCTCAGTATTCAGTACAGCTGTGGCCACGATGCACTCTTCTAGGTTGTGTGGAAATCTGAAAAATCTCAGCTCCTAAAATCAGTGGAGGCTCTAAGTTATGATCAGTGCCTTCCCCTCAGCATAGCCTCCTATGACACACGAAGACATTTATTAAACTAATTTTATTAATTTAAAGCCAAAGAAAAAATTATAGCCTTGGAGTAAAATTCACTGGGGACAAATTCCAATTTATCTGTCATCAAAATAAAATACATTTGCTTGCTTTCTTTGTCTACTTTTCTTTGACTTGGGAGCTCTAAACTCTGTTAAGGCTTATTGGATTCATTTGCCATCCCCACTAAATTACACACACAATTCCTCTATATCCATGTATGTACTTTGAGGTTCATCTATGGGGCTCCTTTCTTAGTTCCTTCTTTTTCTCCCTGGGAAGGTTCCAGGGTCATCTGGTTGGATTTTGAGAACAATCAGCATTTTTCTTCCATGGTTGCACAGACTCTGGACATCTGAACAGTGTGATCTCTAGAGCACTACTTGCCAAAGCCTGCTAAGCAGAAATATTTTTAAGCTTCTCTTCTCCTTCTTCCCTCTGCTATCACCTTTGCCCCTTTCAATGTGAGAGACTAGAGATTCCCCCTTAAAAAACTGTTTTGAAAAGCTAGCTAGTACATAGCAAGTCACAAGGGAGAAACTGAAAGCAACATCTGTGACCTGATCATCTGGTCTCAATGTCTTTAAGAAGAGCATGTCCAGAGTTTCCAACATCAGCACCAATCTACCTGCACAGGGCAACCAGGCTTGCTCTTCTGAATTCTTTTTAATTGGTATTGCAATAATTCAAGGAAAGAAGTCTAAAGTCTCTGAAAAAGATTGTTTGAAAAATATTCCTTTGGCACATGTTGTTGTTGTGTATTATTGAGTTGGAACCGACCCAAGCTGACCCTCCAGTGGGTTTTCAGAGGCAGTTAATTGCACAGGAGGAAATTGTGCATCCTTCTCCCGTGGAGCAGCTGGTGGAATCAAACCATGTGACTTTGGGATTGCAGTGCAGATTCTTGCCACTAGGTCACCAGTGTTCCTGTTGTTGTTGTTGTTATGTGCCGTCGAGTCACTTGCGACTCATAGCGACCCTACGTACAACAGCCCTAAACTCCGCTCTGTCCTGTGCCAATCGCACTGTCTTTGACACTCCCATCCCAATTATCCCAGTCACTGAATCAATCCACCTCATAG